AAAAAAAAAAAAAAAGGAATGAAATCTTGCCATTTGTGACAACATGGATGGACTTTGAGGACATCATGCTAAGTGAAATAAGTCAGAGAAAAGCAAATACTGTATGATCTCAGTTATATGTGGAATCTAAAAACAACAAGAACAAGCTCATGGAAACAGAGAACAGACTGGTGGTTGCCAGAGGTATGAGGTGGGAGGTGGGTGGAATCGGTGAAGGTAGTCAAAAAAAAAAAAGAAAGAAAGAAAAAGTAAAAGAGTCTCTACGTCTCTAAGAAAGGAAGGGAAGGGAAGGGAAAAGTGAAGGGAAGGGGGGAAGGGAAGGGAAGGGAAAAAGGGGAGGGAAGGGAAGAAGGGAGAAGGGAAGGGAAGGGAAAAATGGAAGGGAGAAAGAAAAAGAAAGAAAGAAAGAAAGAAAGAAAGAAAGAAAGAAAGAAAGAAAGAAAAAGGAAGAAAGAAAAAAAGAAAGAAAGAAAGAAAGGGAGAGAAAGGAAGGAAGGAAGAAAGGAGGGAGGGAGGGAGGAAAGTAGGAAGAGAGAAAAATAGAAAAGAAAAGATATATCCATAGAACAGTTGAGCCTGCTCTGTGCCTTCTTCTCTCTGTCTATGGAAATCTTCTGGCTGGGGTATTTGCTTCCAGAGGTAATTCCAGACATCCACAATGGACACACACACACACAAGAATGAGAGCAACTTCCACATTCAAACACTATTTGCACTGACAATCCTGGAGTCTCTCAGCCTGCACAACTTCTCTACTTACAGCCTGCTCTACAAAGCATATCTACTTACACAGAAATCTTTTAAGTTCTAGATAAAATGCTATGTTCCTAGGAAACATAAATATCCATAGTTCCAGAAGTTGTAAACCCAAATTGGATAATAACTATAGGAGAAATGTATATGAGGGAGGAGATAATTCTTGCCCCCACAAAGGCACTGGGCCCAGATTGTTTTATGGGTGAATTTGTCTCAGTAAAACTGATAATCTCTATTTTATTTAAATTGTCCCTAGACATTAAAAACAACAACAAAAGGCTCCTAACTCATTCTGTGCAGTGAGCACAAACATATACACATATACCAAGTGCCACAAGTTGGGTTCTCTAGGCTAAATCTGTCTCACAAATAGTTCTGTTTACATTGCATTTTTTAAAATACTGAATATAAATGAGATCCAACATCCATATCCTATTACCACAGTCCCCTCTTCTTTATGAGCCTCATCAACTCTACTTACTTTTTTTAAACAAATTTGGCTCCTCTAGGCATATGAGTTTACAACTCTTACCACAGACTGAGTTTGCTTGTGAACATAAATTTTTAAATTCTAACCAAAATATTAGCAAATCAAATCTAGCACAGGATAAAAGAACAAAGCATTATAGATAAATAGAGTTTATACTAGAACTATCTTGTCATTAGAAAATTAATTCACAGGATTCACTGTATTAATATATTGAGGAACAAAAAGAAGTGGCATTATCAATAAGTCATCTAAAGTAGAAATTCTCAACCCTTGGGGTTCCATGGATGGGCTCCAGAAAGAGTCCATCATAATCTGCAGTTGTAAACACAATATTGGTGTATGTGTGGTGAGTTCCACAGATAAGTTAATTCTCAAATAAGTCCAAAACACATAAATCCATTCACATGCTGCAGCATTACAATGGACTGTTCTGTATTAAAATATTATTGAAGGTTGCTCTAAAAAAAGGACACAAAGATATACTACACTAATATTCAAACTGATCCATTTTTAAAACAGGTTCTTAAATTCTACTGCATGAAAAGTCATTACTTACTGCCAAGACGATCTTTCGAATGTTTTTCACATACAGTATCACATAGTCTTTGATGTAGGTATGCAGTTCACTGGCGGGTATATTATACCAATTCATCATCAGCGCTGCTTCATTTTCATTATTTCCACCCCATACGATGATGGAGGGATGATATTTCAGTCTCCTGATCTAAAATTTCAGAAAACATAAAACAATTTTCAAATGATCAACAAGAAAAAAAAAGCCTCAGAGCTGTAATTATTCACAAAATGATAGCCATTGCATTTCTGCACATAAATTCTTATGTACCAGAAAACTCATTAGAAACTGGCTTGTAACATTACCTGTGGGAATACATTTTAAGAAATCTCTGATTCTTTTTACCTAGATTTTATAAACACCAGTAAGATAGGGTTCTTCTTCTCTACTGTGTAAAACCTGAAGAAAACATAATCCTTTTTATTAAAAAAGAAAAATAAATCAACCTCATCATCATCTGACTTTCCACAAAAAGGCTCTAAGAAACACAAAAGGCAGGAGACATTACATTACAGAGGAGTTTCTCAAGAACAAGTTGGAGTTTTGTGTGAAAAAACAAATGAGGAAGAACAACCACTTCTGCTGAAAGAGGGATTGAGGTTTTCACGGTCTCCACTGAGATCAGAAAACCACAAGGATAACCAGAGAGGGTTTTACAAAGCCTCTGAGTTCCTAGAGATACTCTGTAAGTTAAAGACAAATATATGGAATATCCTAAAGGAAAAAGGATTAGGGCATCAAGAGGATGTCTCCAGAAAGAACTATCAGTGTCATGTCCTGAGAAATCAACTAAGCTTAAGTAAGTTACTGAATATATCTGAACATGGAAGAAGAAATTAGAGAATCTGTCCGAAAATCTTGCCAACCTTAAGAATTGAGCCTGCATGAACTGGGCTCTCTGTGGGCTGGCCCTACATAAAGGTGGAAGGATCCAGTTCTTCAGACACCCTGGGAGATGTACTCCAGCAGAAGAGGGCAGTTAAATCTCTTTGAGAACACAATGAGTCAATGGTCAGGAGAAATCCTCTGGATCACATTTTAGCAAAATAACCTTATTGGTTATAGCTTCTCTTCCATGTAATGCATGGTTACAGTGATGGATCCCAGCTGATGTTCTCACTGTGGCCTCCATTCAAGATGCTAAGTATTGGGGCACCTGGGTGGCTCAGATGGTTAAGCGTCTGCCTTCGGCTCAGGTCATGATCCCAGGGTCCTGGGATCGAGTCCCACATCGGGCT